CCATCCTCGACTTACCCCAACTCCCCCAGCACTCTTTTGTTTTGTATGCTAAGGACTTGTTCAGATGATTAGCCAAGCTAATGAGATTTTGGCGCAACGCCAAAAGTACGTAGCAAACTTCTGAACTCACCAACGAACGTCCTCATCATCTGAACTTGGTTTCTCGTTCGGATGACCTCCATCTCATCCCGCCTTCGATTCATGGAACGAAAACGCACGTATGAATGGTGAGCCTCTCCGCATCGGTACGCGCAGCAGTCCTTTAGCCCTTTGGCAGGCCAACTTCGTCGCTGAAGAGTTGAAACGCAGCGGTCAGCCTGTCGAGATCGTCCATGTTTCGACCACCGGCGATGTCACATCCGGGCCTTTGGGAGAAATTGGTGGCCAAGGTCTCTTCACCAAAGAGATTCAAGCGGCGCTGTTCGACAATCGCGTCGATGTAGCCGTTCACAGCTTGAAGGACCTTCCGACCGAACCAACCCCCGGTCTGGCACTCGCAGCGATTCCTTCTCGCGAAGCATGTGGCGACGTGCTGGTTTCCAAAGCAGGCTACCATGTCGACACGCTCCCCCAAGGAGCGATCATCGGCACCGGCAGCGTTCGTCGTCGCGCTCAACTGCTTCATGCTCGGCCCGATCTCGAGATTCGCGACATCCGTGGCAACGTCGAGACACGTTTGAGGAAGATGGACGATGGCGAATACGAAGCGATTGTCCTCGCCGAAGCTGGTCTTCGCCGTTTGGAATTAGCCGAACGAATCGTTCATGTGATCGACAAGCGTGTCATGCTTCCTGCTGTCGGCCAAGGAGCGCTCGGTATCGAAGTTCGCGAGAACGACCATCGTGCCAAAGCGGCCGTTGGAGTTCTTCATCATCCCGATAGCTATCACTGCGTCCAAGCTGAACGCGTGCTGCTAGCAGAACTTCGCGGTGGTTGCTTGGCCCCTGTCGGTGCTTGGGCTCGCTTGGAGCTGGAACGAGACCTACTGCATTTGGACGGCATCGTGATTAGCGGCGATGGTGTTCAGAAGATCTCGGCGTACGCGTGTGGTCCTCCATCGAAGGCCGCCGAAATTGGTCGTCAGGTCGCATCACAGCTTCTCATTCAAGGTGCACAGCGAATCATTAGCTACGCACGATCGACCGGCGGACGCGGCTAAACGGTAAACGCTTCCGCAATCTTTGCCGACCGAGCCCGGCAGCTTTTTCCGATTGCCGGGCTCACGGAAAATTCTGCCGCCATGCTGGCGGACTTTGCTATCAGTCACTCATCTTGAGTCTGTTACTTGACTTAG